TTTTTTTAGGAGACGTTTCGCCTCATCCAAGAGGCTTCTTCATCAGGAAACCAGGTTAACAGGTTTCTTTCAAGTTTGTTAAAATATAAATAGGAGTATTTTGTCTCTTGTATTTAAAATGATATAATATAGTACTGATTCTGCATAAAAAGAACATAAAACAAAAAAGAGAAGCTGATTTTTTTAAACTAAATATCCATTCGGGATAATACTGTCCATCACTATGGAAAAGTTAACTTTTTCCACCCATTTAACAGCATCTCTCCGGATACCTTGAAAAAATGATGGTGACCTCAGACACATGAGACTGGGCCTTGCAATAGGATTTATGCTCAACATTTATTTCCACATTTAGTTAATTAAAACCTCCAATTTCTTTAAGCCAGCATCTCCACATATAGTTCATTATTGGAAGGTGCCAAGAAGTAGAAGTCGTCATTATATAAAGACAACAACATGATTAGGAAGCATTTTTAAAAATATATAATTTCTACAGAAGAAAGCTTCCCTATTCCGTGGTTTGTCTAAAGTACTAGAACAGAACAAAAAACAAAAACAGTGAAGCCGGTGGCTCTAAGAAGGATGGAGAGAGATGGAGATACGAGTGATAAAAAGCTACAGGGGTATTACTATATGCATAGAGTGGAGATTTTTTGAGGACGATGTAAAAAATTATATCAAAGACACAAAAACACCGCCAGCTGCTTCACTGAAGTTTGATTATAAACTGGGAATATTCATAAGACATTGTTTTAGTGAGACATGCTGTATTTGAGCCATTATTGCTTCCATCCACCTTTACTCACCTGGCATTTCTCAAAACGCTCATAAAGCTCTGTGTTCACCGCCACACTTCTACACGCTTCCGGACACGTCTATCAGATCCAAAACAAAGAGATCAAAAATGAAATGCATTCGACACATTTATTAGGGATTCATTTAAAGCCTGAACGTTGGCATTTACCTGCACTGAAGCATGTTTACTGGAGCAATTTTCATCCTGGGACAAAATATTTCTCTGTGAAGCTGAATTTGTTTCGGGGTTTTCATAAATTTCATCCAGAACATCCAGATGAGGCTCTGTGAAACCATTGGTTAAAAAGTGAGGGGATGGGTCAAAGTCTGAGACAGGCCAGGGGGACACGGAGGAGCTATATGAATACGGGTTTGGGAGAACTAAATGTGATGCTTGGGGTATGGGGGAATAACCCTTTGAAAAGTCTGTAAAATCACTAGCTGTATACAAGTCAGGTGATAAAGAGTCACAGTGAGAATCAACTATTTCGTCCAGGTCGTCCAGGCTGGGGCCGTGTCTGGCCTGCTGCATGGAGACGGCGTGCTTGGCCAGACCGATGCACCTTCCCAGCTTAATGAAGCGGAGGGACTCCAACAGGAAGAACTCCAGGCCGCCGGCGTCATCAATCCTCTTTCTGACATCGTAGGGGAAGTTTGCATAACCGCCCACAAGCAAGTGGTCATCGACCGCCAGGGGGCCGTGCTCCTCCAGGATCTGAGCAAAGTAGCTGCAGAAGAATTGGAACAGCTGAGATTAAAACGCAGATTAAAAAGCTGAAGGTTTCAGAACACATATTTATTAATTCAAATCACTGGAGCTACATCAGGGTTCCTACAGAATAAGGCAAGTTAAATTCAAGACTTAAGACTTTTTAATGCCACTTGAAATAAAAATTTAAGACCAAATTCACAAGAAAAACCTGCTTGTGACAACTTTATTTTAACATAAACCACTGCACTAATGTTTCAAATTTTGAAAAACTTTTCATACAGGAAGAAAGCTAAAAATAACCAAATGACATATTTTAACAATTATTTAACTGAATTCACAAACTTTGTTTTAGCAGGGAACAAACAAATCAGTTTTAAAACCACAACATAACCAGTGCTAAGTCTTTTTTGCATCTATTTTTCTTTGTATCGTTTTCTATGTTTGATTAGGTTAAAAAAGTGGAGGCGTTGCAGAGACAAGGGTAGAACAAAACTGAGAAATACCAGCTGTTTCTCAGTAACTCGATTTTGAAGCTTTGTGTTTCGCGCTTCGCATGTGACTCCACTGCCTTAATTCCCATCGTTCCGAGCTTGAATGACTTCTTGCACAAAATCCACTGTGCCTCATGTATGTTCCCTGGTTTTAGATATGGCGAAAAATCTTGGCTGGAGCCAATTTTGGTTACATTTACACTTGCTCATATTTTCCAGACAAAAAGTGAATGGAGCATCTCCCAAATGTCGCGGCCGCAACAACGCTTTTATTGGTTCCGCTATCCGGACGGAACCAATAATGGTGAGCCATTTTTTTTTTTTTTATAAAAACAAAAAGGTCAATTTTTCATGCTTTATTTATATTACAAAAATAAATATAAAATTATCCTATTTATGATGTTTTAAAAATCAAGACCTACAAAAGACTGATTTAAGACATTTAATACCAATTAAGGCCTTAGTTTTATTTTTGAAGACTTTTAAGACTTTTTAAGGACCCGCGGGAACCCTGTACATTTATATGCAGCTCAACTTTTGGTCTTGAATGTTATAAAACCGCAGCATATTGTGGACAGGAGATCTGGCAAAAGTAAAGCCATTCTTTAACCATACAGATGATCTAAACAAGGTTAAATGACCACATTTCCGTTCAAGTGGAAAATATCCCAAAGAAAACTAAACAGCAGCTTGTGTATAGTCATTTAAAGTAATTCTTTCTGTATTGAGTCGTTAAGTGGCACGGCCGAGGGAAGTGGGTGCAATCCCCTAGTGGCGAAAGGGAGATAAAAAAAAAAAAGTATTAAAAATACTTTGCACAATTTATACATTTCTTATAGATATTTTGGGAAATTATTTTGACTTCTATTGTACTATTCTGTGTGGAGTTTTGGATTTTAATTTAATTATTTTGAGCGCTAATCAACACAAGCTCATGGAAGTTACGTTGTCATGGCAATTTCAAGCAAGCTAGAGCTTGGTATCCATGCTCTAGCATGACTAGAAAATTTACACAGTTCAATGTAATAAAAGTTTCAATTCGTTCGCTTATGCAAGACTTTATCTCCGCGACCCCCGAGTGCACCTCAACATTTGGACACCTGTAACCAGGGCACCCTGCCTGTAGCTCAAAGAAAGAGCATGGTACCACCGCATAGTTTCATATCTATTCGTACAGTTTAACATTACCATAGTATTTTAGAGAGTTATTTTGATCTTGTGTTCTTTGTCTAATCGAGAGCTGTTCAATAACGTTTAAATAGTATAATTATTTCCTTATGGTTTTCGTAAAAGGATTTTTGAGCTAATAGTCACGTGTGACAAAAACACAGCGACTCAGGTTCATGCCAGCTGACCAAATCTATGTTGTTTTAGTGCTTTTGTGAAGTTTAATTAATTGTGCATATATCTACGTGAGAACTGATGAGGTCTGTGTTGCAGACCCTGGTTGCTTAAAGTGAAGTGTATATGACAAGTAGTGAATCTCAATCTATTTATTTATTTTTATTGTACTATAAATATGCCTATAGGCTCAATGGTCTTTTGTCCAAAAACTAAAAAATAAATTAATTCATTAAAATTTCAGAGTAACCCGTTCCAAAGTACTTTCAGCGGCCCTGATTTGTGGTGTGTTTGGTACTTACTCATACAAACTTTCTTTTGATGGATTTAGGTATCTGCTGTAATACTCCTCAAAATTCTCCACCTCCTCTTGAAGGAAACGTGGAACACTGAAGGGGTCATTGGGGTGGAGGAATGATCTGTGGACATGAAGCTCAAAAATTAACAGCCTACAAAGCTTCTCACATCGTCAGTAGATGCTATGAAAATGCACAGATAACGGGTTTACATCTTGGGGGATTATCAGTAAGATTAACACGTGTGACTTACAAAGAGTCATCATCAAAAAAGTCTTGGTCCCACTCCTCTCTCTGAGCTACTCCCCTCAGTGGACAGAAACCGATAACATTCTGAGTGGAAATCAGCACAAGAACATGATTAGAAATTTAAATTGGTCTTAATGTCAGTAAGGTCACATCTTTGGAGACTTTACCTTCCGTTTCTTTTTCCTGCCTCGACTCTTAGCCCTCGTAGGGGAATTCTGCAATGAGATCAGAGTATATTAGCCTGTGTTAAGATGAAGGCTGTAATCTGATCAGATTTGAAGTTAAACCCAGATATAAGGCAAACATTAGCAAATCTAACAATCAAGAGACATTTCTGACCTCATTCGTTTCACTTTTGTCAACAGCTATAAAATCCACACTACCCTTTGCTAACAGTATGCTGCTTTCAGCAGCATACTGTTAGTATTTTAAACTTTCATTGCTTTCCCAGAGTTTAATGTTACGCTACAATGTTGAAATGTTACAGCTCATCTTTTCATTTTAGGAATAAGTTTGTTGTACATAGCTACAGCACTGACTGTACGACGAAACCGCAGGGTTTAAAAGTTCATAGCTCATGATGCATGTTCTCACACTGTAAGGCCCAACGCTCAGATACAATCTAACTCCTCACACTGTACGTCCAAAAACCACATGTTAGACTGAGCGCCGAGAGATAGCACTGGTCGGACTCGTCAATCTAGAAGAAGAACTCCCTTGTTTGCACATGCGCAGTGCATGAGGTTCTGGTACATCGACTCGTAGATGCTCGTAGCTCTGCTTCAACCGCAGGATTTGTCCACAAACACCTTATGACAGCTGACTGAATTTCAAACATGTTTGATTTTCTCCCGACCTTATGATTCCTGATTGGGAGGTAGTTGTGAGCAGCTGATCGTCCCTAGTTACCCCATGGACACAACATGAAGCAGGACGTACAATGAGGCTGAAACTCGGCCCAACGAAAAGATTCTTGCACGACTGGAAAAATCATACAGTGTATGCCCGGCTTTAGGAGAAATGCTCCATTGGATCCTACTACATTAAACAAGGAAAAAAAAAAAAACATGAACTCTTCTTTTATCTAGTGCTGCCCAATGTGCAGTACTAGTTACTGACTACATCAATGAGACAAGACTTGTTCAAATAGAATAAACACCAAATAAATCGGAGCCTTAGCTGTAAAGAATCTAGGCTTAGCATGAAAGCTTGACCATACAGCCAGAGATCATCTGGTACAACCTTTAACCCCTAAAGCCGGGCATACACTGTGCGATTTTTTTTCAATCGTTGCACGCAGCTACAGCTCACACTGTTTGATGAAACCCTGCGGTTTCGTCGTGCAGTGCGAGTTCCCAGCTCTCAATGCATGTTCAGCCCGACGCTGTGATTCGATCTGCCTGCTCACACTTTAAGTCTAGAAAACACGTCAGACTCAGCTCCGCAGTGAGATGGAGCTTCTCTGACTCGTCTATCCGGAAGAAAAATTAGTAGAGGAAAAAACACTATGAGGAAAACAGTAAGAGGAATATGAAGCTCACTAGAGTGAAACACGCTGCCGTGGCAATTTGTGCAATTTTGTGGTGAAAGCCCTAAAAGAAAAGGCGAAGACGTATTTGGACAAAGACATGGCTGAACAAACGTGGCTACTACGGTCTGTCAATTTTACCAAAAACATCTATCTCCATTTCACCCACACCCTTGCCATGCATCTGTGTTTACATCTGAGAAGAAGAAGAAAAGAAGAATCCTTTTTTTGTGCATGCGCACTGAGCGACGGTCACAAAAAAACCTAAAAAAACATGTTTGATTTTCTCCCGATCAGGAATCGTGAGGTGGTCTTGAGAGTCTGATCGCCCCTCGTTACCCCCCCCGTACAGTAGGGCTGGGTATTTTCATGAATCGATTCGATTTTGATTAATACAGTTCTAAATCGATTAATTTCGATTCGATATGTTTTTACAATAATGAAAGTGGTTCAACCATGTTTCAAAATACTCATGTATTTTATTGTTTCCTGACACATTAAACACAAAGTGCAAACTTGTAAATCAGACAGTTTAAACTTCAGATCTGAACAAAACTGTCTCAAAAGTCCAAACTAGTTTGTGAAAAGTAAAAAAAGTGAAGCCTCATTCGAGCAAGCAGACATGCATGAGCTGCATGACCGTCACTGCACAAACCATATTTGCAGCATTGTCTGTAACAACTACAGGGTGTTTGCTGGTGAGTCCCCATTTGTTAATGTCTTCAGTCAACCTATTGGCTATGTTTGCAGCTGTCTGGCTTGAAACATCTTGAGTGCATCTTTCCAACTCATTTGAATGTGAACGTCACGTGCGTCACTATAAAACGAATCACTCATTTCCTAGACATCGATTTTGCAAAAATTTAAAGGAATCAAATCAAAATCGATTTTTTTACCCAGCCCTACCGTACACTACACGACGCACGACCAGGCTGAAAGTCGGCCCTATCGAAAAATCCTTGCACGATTGGAAAAATCGCCCCGAAAAAGGGAAAAATATAATTAAAATAAAATCGCACAGTGTAACCTGGCTTAAGGAAAGCAACCTGGGATGCATAACTAACCTAGCTGCTGCAGTCATTTGATCAGCTAGAAGTGAAAAGCATTAGATTTCATTTTCTTTGCCAGAGCTCAGACTAACCAATGATTCAAGTCAGCCTAGGATAGTAAGCCATAAAAAAAATCCAATCTCTGATGCTATTCATTTGATGTGAACAGTAGTTCTTAATGGTTCAATGGTTACTTTATTTGTCATTAGGGCAGCAGCTTTTGATTTTAAACTGAAAACATTAAACAGGTCAAAGTTAACTCTTCCCAACAGGGATACCTCTCACTGAAAATATGAAATCCTAAACCTTATGTACAGTCATGCGTCTCGGAACTGTGCAGAGAAACACTGTGCTCAACACCTTCTAAAATGAAAATAAGCCATACTCATTCTATTTTTTTTTTTAAATACTAGCGATTGCATAATACTTGTTCGACTAACTGAAGTAGAAAGTAATAGTTGAAGACATTGTTTACCGAATGTCAGTTTAAAAACCGCTAAGGTTGCATTTATCTATGAATGATAGGCCTCAGCTTGAAGCTTGAATGTGTAGGAAACTTACATGTTCATTTTCAGACTTTTTTAAGACAGAACAATGTCCATCTGAAAAACAAAACGAGTGTTTTAAAGCAAGAGAAATGCTTGCAGAACAAAGGTTTGTCAGGTTCAACATACGTACCCATATCAAAATATTCATCCAATATAGTGTGACAAGAAACATAGTCCTCTCTATGCTCCTCCAGAGTCCAGATAAACAGCCTCATGTCATGAGCTGAAGCCTGTTTTAGATACTCAGTCACAGTCAAGCCAAGGCTTGGAAAAAATTCTGCAGTAATGTCAAGTTTCTGTAAAATAATTTCCATTAATGGGTCAAAGTTCAGCAGAATAGCCAGATCCAGCTGCTCCAGGTGTTCCAAGTGTCGGTCTATGAAAGACTGGGCTGCGTTCAGACCTGAAAGCAAAAAATAAAATCAAACTTCCATCCAGACTCCGGAGAGACACATTAAATCATCCATTATTTTAACATAAACGTGTGAACGCTGACCTGCATTGTCAAGCTGGCGTGCCCAGTTGCTCAGCTTGGAATTTATACCCACACAGCTGCTAAGTAGTTTTACAAAAACTCGTGCCCAGACCCGGTTCTTTCTCTCCAGCAGGAGGTCCAACGCTTGGCCCAAAGTCTCCAGTTTTTCCTGTTGCCAATTCAACAGTCTGCCAGCAATTTGATTCCCCCTGGACCAGTCCAGCTCCAACCAGGGCTGCAGGCTTCCAGTCAGCACGGACACCTGGAGGCCCTGCTCCTCCCGCAGAAGATCCATGTTCTGACTGATTTGCAAGAGAACTCGATCTCTGTACACCAACCAGGCTGAAGATGAATCCAAGGAAAAAAAAAAAAAAAAGAACAGTCAGTGTTAATAAAAAAAGAAAAGGTACATGTGCAGAGGAAAAGGAATCATCAAACTATGTAACTAAACCTTTTTGTTGACTCTGTGTTCTTGATTCGTCTTTCTTCTGCAGAATCTCATTGCTGATGGTCTGATTATCCTTCGTCTGTTTGGATTCTTTCCTCTTCTGCTTCTGATCCTCCTTTGACTTTAACTTCTTTACACTAAAAAATAACAGAATAGAATAAAATAGCAGCGTTGAACAGTGTTGCATCCAACCAATGACTGAATGCTGCAAAGGGGGACCCCTCAAGGCTCTGTATTAAGCCTTGAACTTTATACAAGTACCAGGATTAAAGCAAAGAAAAATCCTGAGCCTGAACTTTTCATACACACATATTGTATATATATATATATGTGTGTGTGTGTGTATTTTTAAGCCATGCCGAGGGGGTGTGGGGGCATGGGATCAGAGATTGCATGAATGATTGAAGGCTAAAATTTTTTAAAATCCAATACCATCTATATCTAGTGTCAATGAAGGCTGATTTACTTTGAAATTAGGTCGTCTCCGTGTGTGTTATAGTGAACGCAGAAATGTTCCCGCACATTCAGCAGACACTCTGGTGCACCTCACCCAAATTATAGGTGACCGCACACAGTTCCACAGACAGAAGGCCTCTGGTTTGTCAAACATATATCCGCTTTTTTGCCCTCATGTCCCTCCGTTGTTACCCAAATTGCTCCCAGTTCCTCACCGCCTCGGCCGTATCTAGACCCACAGCTAGTTCCTGATTGCCCCTCTTGCATTGTGGCATGGAATAACAGTGCTGACCATGCATCTATATTTGGCACGAATCCAAAAATGTCTGCATCACACCTGCCAAAATCTCACAGCGACACACTGCTGCGGGATTATAACCAGGCTGTGAGAGGTCGTGTTCGGTGAGGAAAGCAAAAAACCCTTATTTTTAACTCACATACACAGTAATTGACGCTGGTAATTCAGCTGTTGCCGTAGCTCCCGGCAAACATGTAGTGTGTGGGACCGTACAAACAGCAACCCGCCCCCTTCTTCTTCTTCTGTTTTGTTAATGCTGTTAGTTTCAGAGCGCTCCTTTGCCAACATTGGCTGACAGACGCAAGAGGGATTTCGATCGTCTTTTAAAATTTATTTTCAAGTAATTTTTTTACCAACGGGCAAGCGCTATGGGCCGGAAATCTTGCCTGGGGCTGGAATACTTTAATACCAGCAATTATTAATTATTTTATTTATGCATCAGAAGGTCAAACAATGCTCCTCTATCTGTATGCAGATGACTACCAGCTTTATATCAATACACCATCTGAGCTTCCAAGGTGTTCATGCAACTTGCATTTCAGTATTCATATTGTTAAAACATTTTACAGTACAGTATTTTCATTGTTTATTTTTAACTCTTTATTATTATTATTATGTTATTCTTATTTCTAAGGTCCACATCTGTGTTTTTCTATAATATTTTTACTGCTGTAAGAATTTCCCCATTGTTGGACAATAGAGGAAGTTTCTTTTCCATTCTATTCTAATTAACGTCTCTTAAGCTGAGATAATATATCAACTGCTTCTGCTAGTGTGAATGTGAATGCAGAGAAGGAGCAAGGAGAAGAGAGAGGAGCAGAAAATCTAAGCTATCTCTTCCATCAATCATTATTTGCCATGTAAGATCTTCAGGGAATAAGTTGTCCAGCCCAATGCAAAGACTAAGCTAAGGCTTTGGGGAGCCTGTTTTTAACCATCTGCCTCATCTAGAACAACACAGACTCCCCCATCTTATGATAGTCAAACAACAGAAACACCAGTGTGATCTACCTTGTCGCTTTCTGGTTCATCTTTGGTTTCTTTGGCATCTCCGGTTTAACAATCATCGTTTCAAACTGACAAGACAAAAAAACAAAAAATGAGACATCTCTGTCAACCCTGACTTTGTAGTTCAAGTCATAGAGCCCTCTGGATCAACATCTTACCTTACATTTTACCAAACCTGTGGGACCAAAGATTTTTATACTGCAGATTTTACCTAAACAGTCAGGAGTAAAACACGCCTCATGAAGAATATCCTGTGAAAAAAAGTGAATCAATATTTTAATTAAGAAAAAAACACCAGAAATTGCTGGTTTTCAAAAACAAAAAGAGGGGTGGTACCTTTTCATTCTTCTCACAGAACTTTGTTGTCTTCAGGCTCTTCCAGCAGTTGATGTGAAATTCAACCCTGCAGCTTTGACAGCAGCATATCTGAATGTAGCCCTGAAATGACAAGCATATACATTTAAAACTCATCAAGGCTTTCTGCATTTTTCCAGATAGGATTTCCACAGAAATCAAACACAACAAACCTTAAAATCTGGGTCTGTGAAATAGATCTCAGGCTTTAGAGGGAAAAGGCATTTTTCAAGACGACAAATGGCATCAGGGGCAGGAGGAAATTTACACAACTCTATAGCATTCTCAAGCATCTCCTAAAAAAACAAAAACAGAAATAAAAAAAGCGGTTTAGTTTGACTTTTTTTTATTATCTCATAACACATCTGATTTTCTTTAGGACACACAAACCTTAAAATCATCTGGTTGTGTTTCCTTAATAATCTCTTTAGTTAAAGGCCAGGTGAGTTTTCCCGGTGTTATTTGATTCTTCACCATCTGCAGTGAATCTAAAAACTGCTGCATGGCAACTTTAAACCTGAACAAACAAGAGAGAGACACCAGCTGAAAAAACAAACATAACGGTGAGACTGCTGAAAATTGGTTTAGGCATCATTTTCTTCTTACCTGTTTTCTCTGAGAAACACCCGGCCGATGGCGTAGTAAACCAGACACTGAAACGTCCGCTCTTCAAATGATTTCATCTTCTCAAGGAGTTTCTCTGCTTCAGCAAGTTCCTGAGAAAAAAAAAAAAAAAAAACCTCAGTGTGTTAAGTAAATATAATTAAAATGAGGGGCTAATCTCTGTACTGCAGAACTATCAGTTAAATGGGGCAACAATAGACATGGCCACAGGCGGTTCTACACAGGAGCCTTCAGGGACCCGTGTCCCTACAGAAATGGCCGTGGCCCCTGTAATAAAAAAACAAAACAAACAATAAAACAGCCAAAAATAAAATATAAGTAAGTCGATTTTCTATAAGTATGCATATTTTTCCTTCATTTAAGGAGGTAAGATTTTTAGATGGAATAAGATGATTTGTGTTTAAAATAGGAAAAAGTAAAACTAATAAAATATACATCCTAATTAAAGTATTTCAAGTGCATTATTTCCAATTATCTTATTTTAGAGGAAAAGATACTCGTTCCTTTGAAACAATGTAACATTTTTGCCTTGACAGTTGAATATTATCTACAAATTATAGTCAGCTTTAAGCTTCACTCATGCTGAGATAGGACCACAGTTTTCATCCGTTGGATCAGAAGCGTACAATCTTGGTTTTGTGGCTCACAGAATACACCTATAGGAAATGCTCTTGCCATGTTTTTATTACATTTTTTGTTTGTGTAATTTCATTCTGTACCCCTCAGTGTGAAATGCGTATATATTACAGCCCAGTAGGGGGAGCCCAAGACCAGAAGTTACTTAGTTCCGATTTAACGAGACATTGTCACAAAGCCATCAACAACACAAGCCTAGATTTACTCACAATAGTATTCATTCTTTCATTTTAGATGCTGGGCATAACTTACATCTGGTTGTCCAATTTCTATCAAAGCTGATACTCGTCCAAACAGCAACAAGAGGACATCCAGCGTGGAAAGGCCAAGGCTCTTAAAAAAAAACAAAAGAGAAAAAAAAAGCAGTTTAGAAATCATATCCTGCAACAATCTCTGGGTTAGAGACACAAGATGGAGGAACAAAATATAAACATTTGATAAATTAGAGAACACCGGAATGAGCTTATAATATGCAAAACATCCAAATTCCCTTTTAACTTCATTTGAAAAAGATCTCAGATTTATAGTTTTCCTATTTTATATTTATTAGAACTTTAGGAAGTGCTAGGAAATAACAGGCCATTTTTTGATACTGTGAGACCTTGTTGACATTGTTCTGCTTTTCTCCGTCATCCATTCCAAATTGTCCAGTAAATCACACTAACTGTAATCCCCAATCTGCATTTAGGCCCCATTTATGCATCCAAACAGAAGGATTAATTACCTTAGGGGTTGCACCTTCCAGCAGATCCAGGGCCCGGCTGAAGGCCTGCTCAGCATTATGGCTGCGGCGGTCCGACAGGGCGGTGTGAGCTTCCTGCACCAGAAACTTCAACTCTTTGCATAACTCTTTGCTGTCAAGTTTCTTTTGGCTCTGAGAGAAAACAGCAACAGGTCAGTGATGCAAACAACAAAAAAAACAAAAAAACACATATTAGAGTGAATGACCCATCATATGGGAGGGGGGGGACTTACTGGTTTTTGCACTTCGTCACTCATGTTCTTTGATTTGTTCTTTGTGACTTGTTCTCCAGCGCTGACAGGCTCTTCTCTGTCACTGGAAGCAGATAATTTCCATTTGTAGTAAAGACTTCACAAAGATTTGTCCAAAAACAAAACTTCACACTTAAAAAAAATGAAGCTCAAAATTATGTCTGATCTGTCTAATTTAGGCAGAATTTATATCTTTAAGGAAAAATGGGATAGAGGGAAAAACATAGGATGGAAGAAAGGAAGGATAAAGACAAAGAAGGAGGGTAGAACAGAATGAAGGGCTACACAAAAAGTTATTGATAAAAATTAGGAGGTAAATCAAAGTAAAATGGAGGCAAAGTAGGAAGGGTAAAATTAAATAAGGATGGAACAAAGAAATGAGAGAGACAAGAGATACAAGCAGCAACACAAGGAAGTATACAAGAAAGGAAGAAAGGAAATCAAATGATTTAGACAATAAGACAAGGATTAAAGTCCATTTAAATCATTAAGTTTTTTTTAACCCCCATTTATTTAACCTTTTGTCTGGCTGCTTGAGGACCACGTTGGTCAGTTTAAAAGTCAAAGTACAACTGGTGCAAAAATTAACCAAACATTCAACATTTAAAATGGTTTCTGCTTGCAGGCATTCGGTGTCCACAGGAAATTCATAATTTCAAACAGAGAGTTTTACTAAGAAGTTTAAATACACAACATGAGGAAAAATTATTTGAGCAAAAAAATAAATAAATAAAAATTTAAATGCATCTAGATTTCAGCTGGCATTTGAGTATGATAAACTTCTGTAATGACCACAGGGCTCCTACTGACCTTTTTGATGTTTTGGAGTTTTTCGATCTTCTATCTTGGTCAAGAGAAACTTTAAGATGCTCTAAACAAAAAAGAAATTCCAAAAAGTATGATTTATACAACATTATGGCTCATAGTTGTAGTTAAAATGGCTTGCTAAAACAAGAGACTTAAATGTAAACAATCCTGACCAATCAGAAAACTGGGTTAAGGCGGATTTATACTCAGAAACCATCGTCCGAGTGTGTCACAGTGAACGCCAATGTGCCTGTGCCTCCGCCACTTCCACGGACAGTCTGGTGCAACTCTGCAAAACTGTAGGTGACTGCAGCGAGTCCCGCAGACAGGAGGCATCTGATTGGTCAAATCTACATCTGCTCTACATTATGCGCATTTCCTGTTTGGTACCTTACCGGCTTGTTTTGTTTGTATGACCGCCATTGCGGACAACAACTCGTGAAGTTGGACCAGCTAGAAGTGCGAGGTGCGCGAGAAAGCTGAGACTCTTGTTACACCTGGATCCCCGCTCTTTCCCCCCCTCATGTCCCTCCGTTGTTGCACAAACTTGCCCCCACTTCCTCACCCGTATCTAGACCCACAGCTAGCTCTTGATTGTCCCTCTTGCTTTGTGGCGTGGAATAACATAGCCCAGGCCACGCTTCAATATCAAAAATATCTGCGACAAGCTCACAGCGACACAGTGATGCAGGGAGGATAACCAGCTCTTTAGAATCTTCGCTGAAACCAAGGAACCTTGTTTATTTATAAGGTCTCAAAAGGTAAATAACTAGTTATAAATGGCAAGAATTCAGTTTTAAACAGTAGCTTAATTTGTCCTGATGCATTATAATTAAGGTATAAAAATCCAAGTTTTTAAAGTTTATTTTTAAATTAAGCTACCTAACCCTTTTTGTAGGAATGTAGAAGTAGAATAGGGTAGTATAAAACCTTTACTTTTAGTAATAAAAACAAACCTAAAGCATTTCTGATTTTAATACTGAATGCTTGATTTCAGTTTAAGTTAATCTTAGAATAAAAAAAGTCTACATAAAAAGCATCAAAACAACCAATTTGAGATTATACATTTTTCCTGCTGCATCTCAAATTTTTTTAAATCCTAGTATCTTTATGGTGATATACATTTCAAACTGTTCTCTTAGGGTTCATTTCACGATTAGATATTCTGTGGATGGATTATTTTAAAAAGAGAGTGGGGCAGAATAAAATAATTTAACAGAAAAAAATTGTATATTAATAATAGTTTTATAAAGTTTAACGTGTCCGAAATAGGTCAATATTTACTTCTGATTATGATGCCAATGGATTATGTAAAATGGGTTATTTTATTATATTCTAAAAATAAAACCTGAAATGTTAAAACTGTAAATATACAGTCATATGTTTATACTACTGTTTTTATGTTTTTTTTGTTTTGTTTTTTCCCATTTTCAAGGCTGCACTTAAAAAGAAATTGTCTAGAGAACTGTTCTTAATGAAATTTATTTTTGTTTACACTTGTGTGTACAAAATGACAAAATAAATCTGTCTGAGTCCAAGTTTAAGATGCCAATGGATTGTGCTCGAGTAGGAGCAGAAGGTTGAAGTCATTTGACACATGGTTCAGGCATTACCACACACTGCTAGCTCTGCGATGAAGCAGCTTCTCACCGTCACTAAGACTGATGCAAAAAATAAATAAATAAAAAGGCAAACCGGACCAAATGATGGTCAAACGCTTGAGCACTGGTGCCGACTTCAGTAAGCAAAGCACATCAGAATCCACGCGGACGTCACCTTTTTTCTTCTGATCGGGTGAGTTAAAGGTTTGATTGGAATACACAGACATGGCATTGACGAGGAAACCTGCTGACTTGTATGGTGTTACAGTGCTTGATTGGACAGAAAGCTAACAAAGCAATAAAAAGCTCAGTTTTCAGCGTAACCTCCACGGTCCTGGCTGGCGTTTCTGTATTCAAAATATGAGATGACCTGATTTTCTGAGAAGTGGAAATTGGGTTTTATCAAATGGACACCTTTAAAAATGTAATAGATGACTTGAAATGCATCAGGCAGATTTAAGGAGATAAATTTGATAAAGTCAACATCACACCCACCTGTCTTTTTTTCCATTTTACACACAGGAACCTATGAACACACAAGTTGCAATAAACATCAAGTTATGATTATTTCAGGTGAGAGACAGAAAAAGAAAAAGAAAAAAAAAACAATTATTTCATGTATTTTTGAGTCGGGTTGAAAAATAAATCTAGTCAGTTTTGGACGCTCTAAAAACCAAAGTTTAAGATGAAACACCATGCTGGAAACGTTCAGAATGATGGACTAATGAAAAATAACAATTCGAATGAGAATGTACAGTTAAATACTTTGGTACATCAGGTTTTCCAGCTCCCAACAAATTTGGCTTGTTGGGTCTCACACAGACGTTCATTCAGAATACTGCTTAGTTTAAAGACATATCTACATTTATACTAATAAAAGAAAATGCCTTTTTATTTGACAATTTATGACTAAAATGTTTGATGGACTGAGATCTCAGTAGTTCAGCGCTGATGAAACCATCCCCCTGCAGCCATGTAACCTGACGAAGTCTGGTTAGATGCTATCATCTACATGATAAAACTGTATTTTCTATATAAAGTAGACCACATCAGAAGACATTTAAGGTTATATTTTCCATAAAACACACTGAAATTCTAGGTGGACAAAGAAGGCTTACTGCAGATCTTAACTGCCAGCAGTTATTAGATTTTACAACCATAGTCAATGATAGGAATATCAGGGTTCCTACAGCATAAGGAAAGTTAAATTCAAGACTTTTTAATGTTACTTGAAATAAAAATTTAAAACCAAATTTACAAGAAACACAAAAAACCCCGCTTGCGACAACTTTACGCAAAGGTTTATTTTAACATAAACCATTGCACAAATGTTTCAAATTTTGAAAAAATTCCCATACAGGAAGAAAGCTAAAAATACACAAATGACAGATATATTTTAATAATTATTTAACTGAATTCACAAACTTTGTTTTAACAGGGAACAAAACAAATCAGTTTTAAAGCCACAACATAACCAGTGCTAAGTCTTTTTTGCAGCTATTTTTCTTTGTATCGTTTTCTTAATATGTTTGATTTGGTGATAAGTGGAGGCGTTGCAGAGACAAGGGTGGAACAAAACCGAGAAATACCGGCTGTTTCACGGTAAATCGATTTTGACGATTTGTGTTTCGCGCTTCGCATGCGACTCCACTGCCTTAATTCCCATCGTTCCGAGCTTGAGTGAATTCTTGCACAAAATCCACTGAGCCTCATGTATGTTCCCTGGTTTTAGCCATGGAGGAAACTCTTGGCTGGAGCCAATTTTCGTTACATTTACACTTGCTCATATTTTCCAGACAAAAAGTTAATGGCGCATCTCCCAAATGTCCCGGCCGCAACAACGCTTTTATTGGTTCCGCTATCGGGATGGAACCAATAATGGCGAGTCATTTTTTTTTTTTAATAAACAAAATTGTCAATTTTAATGTTTTATTTATATTACAAAAATAAATCGGAATAAAAATGATCCTATTTATGATGTTTTAAAAATTAAGATCTACAAAGACTGATTTAAGACATTTTAATACCAGTTAAGGCCTTAGTTTTATTTTGAAGAATTCAATGCCTTTTAAGACTTTTTAAGGACCCGCGGGAACACCGAATATGAATCGTTTACATTTTTGGCATCCTTGCCTTTAATGGCGAGAACAATAAAAACGCCCAGCACCATGATGTGAAACCAACAGCTTGATTTCTGGAGAAAAGGAAAGTCTTTGTCAGCATGTGGTGATAAACTTTCAACACCATCCTGTGGTGACAGGATGACAGGATGAAGAATAACTAAAACTACCTTTTTGTAGGTTGAGGGGGACGAAAACCCTAAAGGACGAATATGATTGTGTTTACTTTTTATTACACTAATATAGTGGATGTTTGCTTTGAATGATGCTGGGTTTCCATCCATCTCTTCATCCATTTAAATTCAGTGTTGTTTATATCTGCTGCTGGTAAGGTGGCATGACCTGAGGCACTGTTAAGACTGCTACTCGCAGGAGATAGAGTAAAACTTTTTCCATTGCAGACTTTGTGTGTGTTCACCTGGGAGCATGCTTATCTGCATGCCGAGTGACAGAGAGCACACCACCATAAAGGCACGCCCATGAAGGAGCAGAAATTACATAATCTCTTTGCTAGTTTAGAAGGGCAATGCTTATGTAGAAAAGGTAATGTTAAATTACTCCTTAAGCAATCTACGTGATTTCATAAATAATTTGATACGTTTGACATTTCGTCAGCAAAGCAGAAACTTAAAGGAACCTAGTACTCTCAGATATCAAATCAACACCTTCAGCTTCTTGTAGAAAAGCCTGGAGGGGTTCCATGCAGAGACATGCCTTTTTCCTATAGACAGGTGTTATTTTTGAACTCGAGGACTAAAATCTGACTTCAGCACTTTACATAACGTGCTTGTATTTTTCTTAACATATTTTATCCCTATAAGATGTTAAACCTATTTCTTACTGGTTTACTTGTGCAGGCATTAGGTATAAACAAGAACAGAAAGAAATATCCTTGAAAAACTAAAGCATAATTTAACAGTTCAGTGTGTGTGACAGTCCAAACAGATGAAAGAAAAACAAACCTTACAGGTGATCATCGGTAACTCACTCACCTTAGCTGCTGGGCTTTTTGGCGGATTAGTTTTACCGCCCGTTTGTGTTGGCTGTTGGGTTTTTTTCACTAACCCTGCTTTAAAGCTGCTCCCCAGGTTAAAAATACAAAAATAGCAGTTAACAAAAAGTTAATCACTGATAATGGATAATTTTTTATGTTTAGACAGCGACAGATAAAAGCGAGCACACATACCTGTAAGGCTGCTGCTGCTCAGCTGAAAGCAAAGCAAAGTAGTGTGAGTTTCACTTTAGACAAACAGGAAGCAATAGATCAGCCTGGAGATGAGTCACTTCCTTCGGCATGATATAATTCAGTAATCAGTTCAACCTAAATTACCCATAAAAAGCAAACATAGAGGGAAGAAAAGGTCTCCTTACCTGGGACAGACTCTGAATGAAACTTTAAGTACTGCTGCTCCAGATCTCTGAGTCCCTCTGGGTTGTCTTTACACAGTATCTTAGCAGTAGTGTGGGCTTCAAGAGCTAAATCTCTCTCCTTCATGTAGAACAAGGCCTCACAGTATCGGTAATGGCCCTGAAATTAGATGGTGAAGCAATGTTTACAACTACAGTTTGCTTCACTGATCAACTGCCTCAAGAAAGACAAAACCATTACAAGATCCATCCTGGATAATCCAACCCGACCTAACGGTTTAAAATACTCGTATGAAAGAAAGATGGATGCTAAGCTGTTTTGCCATATACGAGTGTGAAAACAACTGCGTGATTATCTGATCGGCACCCAATGGTGTGATTCCGTCACAGCAGCAGCAACATTTCTGCACACGATCACGGCCAAGATCCGACCAGATTTTAGCCAATGTGAAATAATCAGACATCGGGTGATCTAAAAATTATTTTTTTCTGTTTTAAGGTGCTAATGTAAATGTCAGGGCTCTGATAGGCGGAATACATTAGTAGATAGAGCTGTGTAATAATTTTTTTTTTTTATCTGAAGCAAGTTTAACTTAATTATAATTTCTAGCAGATTAAAGCCATTCTAAAATTAAATTGAACATTAATTAGCAAATTTAGTCAGTCAGCTCATACAAAATAAATCATACCTTTGCCCAGAGCGGGTCGATGAGAATAGCCCGTTTTGCATCACCTGCTGCTTTTCTATTAAAAGAGAAGAAAAAGTTTGTTGTTAGAGAGAAAAGAATTTTAAGTTTATACAAACTTTTTGCAGATTCTTTACAGCATTGCACGTCTGACCACAGCAGGAATTTTGATTGATCGACCTTATTGATCTCACAGTGGAGATATTCACTTGTTACATCAGCTCAAATAGTCAGAAGAAGGTGCCACAGGTAGAAAAAGGAGCATGGGATATATAGGACAGCTATTTTTTTTTTTTTTTTTTTTTAAATAGCAGGATTATTACACAGGGTGTTAACATGGGTATTTATATAGATGGGTGTGTGTATATATATATATATATATGTGTGGAGGAAAGAGAGCATCCCACTTGCATTTAGTCGCTATTCTATGACTTCTTTCGCTTCATGAGCAGTTGCTAAATACAGGTTAACAGAAGAAAATAAAACACCTTTAAAAAGGTCACATATTATGATGCATTTAGAAAATAAAAAAATATTAACAACGAGGCCCAAGAGCACGCTTTTGCTGTTTAAGCAGGAAAACTGCCCTCAGGTCAGACAGAAAGCATGAATAAAAAAAAATCTCATTTCCTTTGGACAAGCCATTTTGGCTCCAGTTCTGTTAGCTCTACGCCTGCCGAAGACACAGACGTCCATCCCTGTGAACACTGGGACGTAACTCGGTGGTAAAGTCAATGACTGTTATTTCAACCGTTGCATATATTAGCAGCGATATGAACCAAGGTGCTATGAGCGAAAAAATTTGATTGACAGATGACCGGTGATATATGATTGGCCGAATTTAGGTGCACAAGCTGATGTATAACTAACTGGCCTGCATAAAATGATGAGGGAAAAAAAAAAAAAAAAGATTTTAAGACAGGATTTTTTTTTTTTTAAATAGAAAGTTTCAAACTTTTTGGACAATATTGTCTGATAAAGAGTACTTTTATATAGCCAGAATTATTAGAAATTTTAATATGATTCCCCTATGACTTTAACAGTTTATTCAAATGGGTTAATCATCTTCCAGTCAAATGCTTTACTTTCCTACAGTGGTTCTTAAAACCATTTTACTTACAGATATTCCTTCTGCTTGATGTAACACAGGGCTCTGTTTCCATAAAGAATGTGGTTGTCAGGACTGAGGAGAAGAAAACGACATGATCACATTAGATTAGGGCCGGCACGGTACCAGGGTCACAGTTCGGCACTCGCATTTCCACGCAGAATACACAGGGTACAGAAGATTAATATTGATCTGGACGCGGAAGTGTTGTTTTGCAAGAGTTTCCTTCAGGACCCATTTAACCACTACCATCTGCAAGCTCTGATTGGTCCGTAGACATGTTGGATTGGACTAGATAGTAAACGCCACCTTAAAATACAAACTGCCCACTAGCAGTACCTGTGGGAAGGTACCGCTGTTGGGTTGTGTTGTTGCGAGAGTGAGTGCTAACAATGTGGAGTGGCGAAGAATTAGAAGACCCACCACCATCATTCAAGTCAGATGTGTGGGATAACTTCGGGTTGCCTGTGAGTTATAATAGCGATGGAGAGCGAGTGGTGGACAAAACAAAGAGGGTCTGTCGTAGTTGTTCGACACCAGTTCATAACATGAGTGGGAACACTCCATATAGGTTGACACATATTAAATGACACCACCCAGAATCCCCATCACCGGCACGAGGCGGAAGAAGTGTCCAATTACGTCTCCCAAATGTATTACAACAAACCCTTGATACGAACACGAAAAAAATTACCGAAGCAATTTGAATTTACATCGCATCTGCGATGCGCCCATATTCCACAGTAGAAGAGGCACAATTCAGATATCTATTGCCTTTAAGGATATAATTTTGGTCATGTTTTTTCTGAAACGTATCGAACCGTACGGTCAGTACCGAGGTACGTACCGAACCTGGAGTTTTTTGTACCGTTCAACCCCTACATTAGATACCAACGTAAGTTTTTTTTTAGGCCGATAAAGAGGATTGATTCCTCACTTTTAATAAATTACTTCTTTATCTTATTTCCAGGATTGTTTTGTGTCTCACATATGTTCTTTTACCTGACTGGTTGATGTGGAAAAAGCCATTTCAGAATGTACTTACTAAACTTTGATGGCTTTAGTATAATACTTTAGCGCTTCTCCATACTGCTGTTCCTGGAACTTGTCATTTCCCAGCTTTTTCATTGCCTCACTTTTCTGGAAATAAATTACAAACAAACATACAGCAGAAACATCTATGATCATTTCAGCAAAGAAACATTGAAGGAATGGTATCAAGAGATATCCACTATATGTATAAGTCAGTTACTACTAGATCAGAGTAGCTCTCCTGCTTTCACAATAATAAAAAAAAAAACTCAACAGAAAAGGTTTAATCTAATTATACAGTTTGTCTAATGCAGTGTGGTTTTGATCAGTTTGGCTCCACCCAGTGGACAAAAGCTATATTGTTTTGCCTGATGGAACAAAGCAGGGAATTACAAGATAAAATCCCAATCTGCAGTTGGATGTTTCCATTGGCTGCATTAAAGATGAATAAAACCGAGGTCATGAATCCAATTGTGGTGAAGAAATGTCACATGACGATGTTGAAAATAAGAAACGTTTAACTTTTTTTTTTTTTTTTTTTTTTACCGTATTTCATTCAATTAGTTGCGAGTCGATGTATAATCACAAAATTTCTGAAAATATTTCAGGATCTGCAGATTTCTGAGAGAAATTGGCTGCTTATCAGTTAACAACTATTCAATTGATAAGATCAACTTTATGTTACCTCAATCAAAAAAAAAAAAAAAAATCATAATATCCATATAGGTTGGAGAAAAGAAAATGCAATTTTTTTTATTTTCCAAAACTGTCAAACACATAAAAAGAAAAATGTAGCAACATTTAAAGCCTGTCCCTTCAGTGTTTACTGCAGTTACCTCTAAAGCAGCCTCTTCTGGCGGCGACCTCAGGGCCTTCATCGTCGAGTCCAAGTTTTTGCTCATTTCAAGGATAAACTTACAATCTGAACAAAAAAAAGCAATTGTTCATCAAAAGAGAAAATTTATCAAATAGACTGTAGAGTTCAGATTTTAAAGATAATGGTAAGTATATTTCTAATGTAAAAATATAAGAACAAGCCTTGCCCCGTTATTTGCAAAGTCCCTCGAAAGCTATCAGATTGGAAGGAAAAACTTTTGTTTACACAAAACGTATTAAATTGTCTGACATTTTAAATCTGGTTCAAGTCTCCTCCCAAAGCCACTGTTTTCTTGATTTTAAAGTTTCCTCCTTATTTCCCTCTGCTTTACGAAGGTTCATGTTCTATCTTTAAAAAATAAATAACTAAATAAATAAATAAAAAAAACACCAAAGCGGAATGCCAACCATTCTTATTTTGCATATATGATGTTTCGGTAATGCACTGTGGGCATTCTGTGTGAAACTATGGTTGGGAAGTTCAGCCTGGGTGTCATTAGATAAAACTTCCTCAGATACTCTGGAGGGACTAAATATGTTTTTTTCCCTAAATATATCAAAGCTTGGATTGTGTTCATTGCAAGAAAAAGGTACAGAACTAACAAAGTTCTCCAGCTTCTCTAATGACGTAGGAAGCGCGACAGAAAGCTGGTGAAGGAGTAAACAAACAGACTGTTGGTAAAATGGCGAATACGTCCTTCTTAAAAATGAATGAACGTAGAGCCTCTTCCTGCTCACGTTTCAATGAAAACCTCAAGTCTAATCCTTCCAAAACTGATAAAGCTGAGTCAAACAAGAGCTGTTTAATAGTTGTTACCATCTCCCTTGTTGTGTTTTCTTCAGCGTTGCGCAGCTTTGTCGTCACACCCTCAAAACCCTGCCCGCTTTGCAACCAGAAATTCAAAACACATCTCTGCGTTGTGACTGGCCCACCAGTTCTAGGGCCTGGGGCTGTTTGAGGCTAAACCAAACCGGCAAGCAAAATAGATTTTGGCCGCTGGCAGGTGGGGCTAGTTTACTAGGCTACTAAAATGATCAGTCTTTTTACAAAAGACTATGATTACAAAAAGAAATTTCGTTTAAAACAGCTCTAGACAATTTAATTTTTAAAAACCTGCTAGTCTGACAATAATATGAGAACTTTTTTATATTTCCTTTAACTGAGGAATCACCTAACTGTAAAAGGAAAAAAAAATAGATACTACACAGTCCTTTGTCTTACACTCTGAGAAGATGAAGGTGAAGGTTGCATAACAGCCTGGGATGTCTCCGAGGCAGAGCAGCTGCTCCCGTTCTATCCGATACACAGACTTCTCCAACCAGCGAACTGTTTCTTCCATGACATCTGGTGAACCGCACTGTGGCAGAAAATTCACTGATATTGC